CCCTTTGTGAGAGCTGCCTTGAAGCGAGTGAGTGAGTAAAGATCTGCAGAGCAGCTCTTTTATATCTCCTCGATCGAAGCTTGATCGCGAGAAAGCTCTTCACCGCCTGTGCCACCTGGCGGTGGGTCCGCAAGCTTATAACTGGTAGAAGGCCTGCGGCGCGTAGCGGCGCCGCGGCGTATTATGCCGCTTCAGTAAGCTGTGTGGCGTGAGCCGCCACACTACTATAATTTAACATACCGTCAACTTGAAGCTATATTTTGCTAAAATCTATTTTATTATTTTACTGTAAAATAAAGTTTAGCTAAAGTTACAAGTCTGTGTGTGTGTGTGTATAGTTTATTTTATCCATATTTCATTATAATATTAATATATTCATATATTAATATTTCTTATTTTTACAACAAAACTTTAAAGTCATGTTAATAATTTTTATGTTCTCTAACAATAATTGAACCACTAGTCTTCAATAATCGTTAATCTTCGATTTCTTTGTAGCGCTCTCGTTACAGGCTGTCGCACATACGTCGATCCACAATCAATTACTCGATTTATCGCGAATCGGCTCTCGGTCGGTCATGTATATCGGCATGCTCGGTGTCTCTAATAGCGTTAATTGGCACGCCGGATTATGAGAGACATTCACATTCGGGTGGGCGCAACCGAATGCTCAATTAAACATCCGACCCTGGTTGTCCGAGAGCACACGTTGCAGCAGCACGTCGGTGCAGCCCTATCTCGGATTCGGTCCATTAATGCCTTCCGCCCCCCTCGAAATATCCAGGGCGCAATTAAAACCCAGAATTTCGGGCGTGTCACGCGCCGGGAATCTCGACCGACGCCACCGGCGCCACCGCTGTCGATTTCGCGTCGAGTAAAACGCGAATGAGCGGAAGATGAGAAGCGTAAAAGGGCGGAAAGAGTAGTACCTGAGAGTACTGTGGAGAGAAGAGAGGTAAAGGGAAATTTGCGAGAGATTGCAGAAAAGCGCCCTGGAAAATTGAGACCTGGTCGCCCTGCATCTACGAACATGTGCCGCCGAAAGTTCTACCATGATAATTTCGCCGTGCATTAAGCTTGTAATGGAGTCGATTATTTTGCAGAGATACCCGGTTCCTTCTGTGAAATTTCATTCTCGACGATCAGTATGAGACGTGATAAATCCTGTTAAAATAAAATTGAGGCTTACAAAAAGCAATTACTCAATCTCGGAAGCGGCATCTAAAGGCAAGTTACATCAAGCAAATTTGATAAATTAACAGCTAAAACAATTTGCAATAAAAAATACGTGAGTCATTTAATGAGATTTGTTTTTTTCTGGAACTTTTAAATTTGTATATATATGCAACTTGTAAATGTAACAAGAAT